TTCCCTAAGTTCCACACTGGTCCCTGAATAAATAGTAAGGGATCCTAGATTATAAATATGAACAAACAGGCAGATCTTGTCAATGAGCTGCTAAACGTTCTGGTTTCCTTTACATGTGTCCTGTTAGGCATCTCCAGGGCTTCCCCATTCAGCGAGTGGGTTTTTCCAGGTTCCCTGTGTAAACCACATAACTCTCCCCGTATTGACCTACATATCTTGGGCCTTGAATGGCACTCCAAGGGGAGGTCACTTAATATTCAGAGAGCTCAAACGCTACAAACCCAACGTACTCCATCTTTCTTTAGCCTCAGCCAAGGGTAAGGACCAGAGCAGCCCCCAGCCCGTGTGCACAGAGAGAAGTGGGGTTGCTGTGCCATTAGAGTAGGATGGAAATTAAGGATAATAGAGGGTTTCTTTCCACAAGCGTTCATTAGCCTGCTTCTTTGCTCAGTGAGGAGAAGGAGACATAATATGGAGGCAAAGGTGGAGAAACTAATGGGATCTGGGGCTTGGGAATGGTCACCTCTCAAATGCAAATGAAGCTCAAGCAGGCAAGTGTACTTGAGCTCAGGGAACAAACATGTAATTTCACCTCCGGAATTTGGGGACTTGAAATCACAACCCAGCAGCTAACATTTATTCTTCAGCTCAGGCCTAGTGCTGCCCGTGTAGCAATTAGCAGATGTTGGGTAGGGGTTGGTTTATGAGGCGGGGGAAAGGAGCTGCTTGAGCAGGGCCAAGACTTGCAGAGATGCAGTCACGAGTGACAGACTTTGGGAAGTTTATCTTCTAGAACAAACAGTGAGGTGACAAAGTTTGAAAGAAAGGCTAATGAAGGAGAAGGATGGAAATGGAAACTTATATGGCCGTTGCATTTATTTTTACCTGCTTTCAGCTGAAGCTGTAGGTGAAGCTCCCCAACCCTCTGAACCTCCTGTGCCACAGACAAGGCCAGGGACACTCTGTAGTGCTTTATTTGGGGCCTTATAGAAGTGCATCTCTCCCCCCAGCACCATTTCTCCCTGTTAACTCTGCCCCTCGCAGGTGACCAGCCCAGGGGGCAGCCACTCTGCCCATCTGCACAGGACTGAGACAGTTATCTTAAATCACAAATGGAGATTGACAGGTGAATTATAGAGTAGGTAGGGCTATAACTATCAAGGAAGCACCAGCTTAGATAAACGCTGCTAGCAGAGGACTTGGATCAGTCTTGGCTTAGCACTTTCATTAGAGACTTTGTCCAAAAATAAGATCATTGACAAAATCTTCTGGAGATCTGAGTTGAGAGATGTCATTAATGCAGAGCAGAATGGAGATATCTCACTGGGCTTACTGGACAATTGGAGAGCAATGGAAGTGGAATAAAGCTGAAAGGGACAAGAGGGAAGTCATAGTCAAGAGACTACTAATAATACTTTCTGCCAAAAGGTGGGAATTCATCAGCAAAAAATAGCTAAAGGACTTGGGTCACACTCATGTAACCAGTCAGGCACTGATATAACTCTAGGTAATGAAAATGTGGTTTTCAAAGGTATCAGAAGGGCTACTTTCAGTGCAAGTAGGGAAGGAGCACACCATTGCATGAGCTCTTCTGCAAGCCCATGCACTGTAGTGTGTTTACTCGTGCTCCCTATCATTGAGCCATACAGGCACAGAGGGCCAGCAGGAGAGCCTTTTTTATAACTTATCAAAAGGAAGGCAGAGCAATCACTGCCTAACGATACATATCAGCTTAAACACTACCAAGGGAGAAGAACTATTTAAGCTGGGAATAGGTTTTGGCTCAAGAACAGATAGTCATAAAATGATTATAGATGAATTTCAGCTAGCAATTAAAAGATAGCTCCTAAGCATTGAGAAGCAAGGGGACTGCAACGGTCTGCCGAGAAGAGAAGCAGCACCACTTGCCACAGGCACACACAAAGACAGACCTTTCCAAAATCTCACCAACTGGTTTTGAGGCAAATCCTGGTGCCTGGTGCTCTATAATTAAGGAGCTGGATTCAGGAGGCCTCTTCCAATTCCATGTGGTACAAGTCTGGTAATTACATATCACAGAGGGATTATTGGCATTGATGGACTGAGGCAGTTAATTAGTTTACTAGCATCAAGAAACAGTAACCTACTTTTGCAGTGCAGTGAAACTGGTATTGGAGAGGGAACAGCAGGAAAAAAGCTGCAAGCTGCTTGCCCAGCAAGTATAGACAGCCGTCTATAGGAGGATATTCACTCCTCTGGTCACATACCTAAGACACCACCATGGGTGGTGCCTTGGGAGACAGGGGCCAGAGACATGTTGGGAGTACAGCACCAAAAGTCTATTAAGATTATTATAACCATGCCTTCCATAGAAAGAGGGGGAAAGAGGGGACTGGCTTGAAATTCGAATTGCAGTGAGCTGTGTGATCAGCCGGGGTGATACACAGTGTATGTGAGGCCCAACACGCTGTTCTTTGCTCCATACTGACCCAAGGCTGCAGCCAGCCAATGTCCACCTCTGGAAAACTATTGCTGGGAATGGGCTTCAGCACCAACCCTGCACCCATCGGCAGTGTAGATGCACTTGAGACAGGATACACATGATAAACGTAAGCCAACACTTCAGCTAACAAAGACTCCGTCTGTGGATGCTTTGCTGTGGTTCCCAGGAATAAAACTAGCAGCGTCAGTTTGGGAGAGCAAGGGTTGCAGATGAGTACAAAGGAGAGAAGGACAAATTTTGTGAGTGGAAAAGCACTGGTGGAGGAGGAGAGATCTCCAGGAGGACATCCCTGACGTCCTGTGGCTTCTGTGTTTACAAAAGCAACTGCTCTAGCCAGTGATATAACCTTAGACTTCAAAGCCGACAATGTCCAGATCTTTGATATCACAGTGGTGTGTGTGGAATGGGAGAACCTGGATTTGGGTTTATTCTGATCTTTTCAAGGAATTTTTGATGTTGTCAGAAATAAAGGCATATGTAAGATGCTATCAAACACTATGAGAAATACTAGAACTGCACCATGCATGATTCAGGCTGGCTTCCCTGTTCGTCTCCATTTCCAAAGGCACAGAAATCCAGGAGCATCTAAAACCAGACTCTCTGAAGAGGAAATTATTTTCTCCACAGACCTAAGCCGCTGAAGTGGGTCTGTGTGTGATTTTGAAAACATATGTTTCTGCTTATTGCCTTCCTTACACCTGTGTGGGTTTTAATTTTTGTTCTTTACTGCTTGGACTACCGACATCAACGATGCAGTGCCTTAATATGAATTCTTAACTCCCAAATCTATTTGACATCTATGGGCCAGAGTCAGGCTGGAGACAAGTGTGAGAATACCCAGTCTCATGTTTTACTCCTGTGTGGGACTGAGTACTCACATGCTTTTGCAGACAGAGCGAGGCTGGCCAAGGTGAGGTCTCTCACACCAGCCTTCCTCAGCGCTGGGAAATGTTGGGTACATTCATGTCTCCACCTCGCCTCTGCCACCAGCCTCAGAGGCACACGGCCAGGACAGGAGACTGCTCAGTGCTGCTGTCACGAGCCCACGGGTGAGAAAAGCCTCTCTAGATGAGTCACACAAAATTCAACTTGAGTATTTGTAGAGCTGTTGGGATCTGACTGCCCAGCTCCGCCAGCAGCTACAACACCGAGGGTGTTTGAAAGGGGAGGCTGAGGTGCCTTTGGTGGCTGCTTGGCCACATGAACCCAGTAAGAGAAAAAGCTCGGTTCAGGAAGAAGATGGTGGCAGACCAGGTGTGAAAAGATACATGTTGAAATGCTCAGTGTGCTTTAAAGCGACATACAACTTGCACTCAGTGGCATGAAAGGTTTCGGTTTCTTTAAAGTATGGGAAGGAAAAAAACCTACCATACCAAGACAGCAGATTAGGTAAGGTCTGTCTGATACCAGCATTGAGCTGCCTGGAGATGAACGGTGCTGCATCTATGAAGGACCTGTGTGTGCATGGTTATTCTTCAGGTTCAGAAATCTTCTAATGATATTATATTTTAATTGTAATCTGCTTTTGGCTCAAGATCTAAAACACATATTCAAGTACTGACCCACAGAGAAGTTACCTGCATGATGTTCCCAAGGTTGCTCTCCACGCAGACCATTTCTCTCACACCTGAGAACTGAACTCTTTCAAGACCCAGAGTTCAGCACCCACACGGTCTTTCCGTCATTGGAAAGTTCCTGCCAGCTTCAAGTGCACATCAAAATGGTACCACAGAGGCTTCCAGGGCCACGCATCAAGTCATGCCAGGAAATGGGGAATGAGCTGCTCCACTTCACAGCAGGTGAAGTGCAGGTAGGTTAGTTTGGCAAGCCCCAGCTAAATGGGTGGAGAAACTATTTTTGTCCATATAGTCCATGACAATCATTTCTTCAGAACAAGCTCTGCAAGAACCTGAGAAACCATTAACCTCCATGCTGTCCTCCATACAAGCCTCTCTGGAATGAAGACAGCCCCAGGGCAGATAGCCTGCCAGGGGGAAGGCAAGCAAGGGGACATCTTGCAGCCCTGGACCTAGCATCTCTCACACCTTACAGGTCCCCTTCTCTTTCACCGCAGGGCAGATTTACCATCCTCCTCCCTCAACATGTGTGCTTTGAGGGCATAGCTCTGAGGCAAAGGCCAACGTGGGCTCCCTCCGCAGCATAAGCTGTCCCTACACTTACTAAAAAAATCATTCATTTGGTTCTGAAGAACCCTCCAACCCTTCACCCACGGCCGGAAGATGCTGTGCAGCTGGAACCATTTGTGAAACCGCTCGGTAGAAGGTCAACACCCGCTTTCCACAGGTTTGAAGATAGGTTCGATGGGTCTGATATGCATTTGTTTTGCCTGTCCCACCACCACCCCACAAACTGGAAATTAAGCATAGAGTTTATTTAAGAATCTTTACTTTTTTTTTTTTTCCAACTTAAATTATACTTCCAAAATACAAGTAAAAAAAAAAAACTCACAATGAAATATTTTGCTAACTTCTACAAAATAGTCTAAATAATACTGCACTTACATCATTTACACAATAAAATAGGAGCACTTAGATCAATATTTACATATTGACAGAGACCATGGTTGTGCAGCCATCTGCTTCTGGTGCCATCTCCTGCTGGAGCACCTCCAGGAGACCACAGCCTACAGTTCCACGCAAATCCTTCTGCAGGAAAAAAGCCCTGCCAAAGTCTTTCTAGGTCCAGGGACCTGCCCATAGGGTGCCAAAGAGACCAAAATGGTGGCAGATATTTGCTTTTTTTGCCGTAAAGCTGCCACTGTAGCACATGAGCACACACCAATGAGTTATTTAAGGAATTCCCTGATATAGGATTTTGCTTCACGATATTAGGCACTTCATTGTAAAAATTATTTATTATGGCTTATGCAAAACAATTCACTTTGCTCAGGATATGTACTCGCTGGAGTCTGTGTGAGAGAGAGACATGTCCAAGGGCACACTTTAAGCCAATATTTTGGCTTAGCCTGCATCAGAAATTTGGATGAAATTACTTAATATCAGTCCTGAAGGAAGTATTCTATCAAGACCCTCATCTTTCCAGCAAGTCCAGAGATCTGTGTATTTTAAAGCTTAGTATATGTGCACTTTTCCCCCAAATTATTGGTAACTAGAGCTTTCCCTCTTAACAATAAGTTAACTACCTACATCCATACTGTTCAATGTGCCAATGGGTGACATATCCCATGTATGATTGTCTTAAGAGAGTACACCATAGGTTGAGGGATTATTTACATATCTTAAAATGTAGAAAATAAAGTTGTAATTTACCAAATAATAAATAGAGATCAACAGAGTACATTATTGAAATAAAATAAATTAGAATGATTCTCCAGGTATTGAATTCCTTCCCGTAAGGCCCAAGCCAGAGACCATAAAAAAAACCAAACAATGATGTTTTTTCAATGGCTCAAAAAGGTCTGGGATGGAGCTCCTTCCTGGATACTGGCTGTTTGAAATGAAATATTTAGCTAAGCTGACAGGTATTTGAAATCTATATGATCAAACAGCAAGCTTACCTCTAAAAGGAGTCTTTTGGGTAAAACAGTTTAGACCAAACATTAATACTGAGTTTATTAGGAAAAATATAGTTCTTGCAGATTGTCTCGACATAAATTCAGCAGCAAGGAAATAAGCATACAGTTAAGAACACAACGTATTTGGGAAGCAAATACGTGTTAGTGCACACGGTTTTCCAAAAACTTCACTCCTCAGCTACATTTGTGCATGTTTCAGAATGCTTCTAACTAGACAGTTAATAAAAGTCTTCTCATGACTATAGCTAAGTTTGCCATTAAAAAAAAAAAAAAAAGAAAAACAATAAGGCGTAACTTACTCAAGAAAGTTGTCCAGATAAGAACGATGCCAAACTTCAGGTCCAAATATATCAGAACACTGAGAAATTTGGAATCTAAGTCAAAGTTTTAAAACTTAGGTCTATCAAACTTAAAAATAGGGGGGAAAAAAAAAAAAAAGATTAAAAGCAGTGAATCTGCTCAGAATTGCACGCTCACCAGGTTTGTAAACTTTACATGAAGTCAATGGTACACTGTTCACTATAAGAGGTATAATGCAGATGCTCTACGCAAAGCAGTGCAGATAATTTGCAGTAAATTGTCTGCCGTTCACTTCATGTCTCCTTTTTCTCTTCCTTGAGGATCAAGCACTTACAGTCATTCGGTAGCTAAGAAGGCTGTCTTACAGGAGACGGCCTGGGTTTACATGGAAGGGGGGGTGACAGGCGTCCACGTGGATGGCAGCCTGGCGTGTGCGGAGGAGTCGTACTGGCTGTCGGGCAGGTCGGTGGGCGCCCCGCCGTCGTACAGGGGGGAGGTGGAGGAGGCGGCAGGGACCGGGTGCGGAAGGGCCGTGTAGTGCGCCGGGGAGCCACGTAAGAACTGGGAGCTCAGGCCATTGGACATCCCGCTCGCCTGGGACACCGGTGTGATGGTGCTGTTGCTCACAGACCATAAGTTAGGGTACTGACTGAAAGAGGGAAAGCAATAAACAAAGGAGGTTATTTAGAGACTCTAGTGCCTGCCTGCTGGCAGTTGCTCCGGTCACAAGACGGCTCCCAAGAAGGGTTCGTTTGCTGGAGACAGTGAATTTCTTTAGGAAGCTCCCAACCACTGTGAGGCAGGTAGGACTCCCACGCAGGAGGTCATGTTCATAGAATCATAGAATGGTTAGACCTGGAAAGGGCTTTAAAGATCACCAAGTTCCACCCCCCCTGCCATGGGCAGGGACACCTCCCACTAGACTAAGTTGCTCAAAGCCCCCTCCAACCTGGTCTTGAACACTTCCAGGGATGAGGCATCCACAACTTCGTTTAGCAACATGTTCCAGTGCCTCACCACCCTCACAGTAAAGAATTTCTTCCTGATATATAATCTAAATTGATCTTCTTTCAGTTCAAAACTGTTCCCCCCCATCCTATTGCTCCGCTCCCTGACAAAGAGTCCCTCCCCATCTCTCCTGTAGCCCCCTGCAGGTACTGAAAGGCTGCTATAAGGTCTCCATAGAGCCTTCTCTTCTCCAGGCTGAACACCCCCATATCACGGAATTGTCAGAGTGGGAAGGGACCTCTAGAGACCATCTAGTCCAACTCCCCTGCTAAAGCAGGGTTGCCCAGAGCACATCACTCAGGACTGCATCCAGGCGGGGCTTGAAAATCTCCAGAGAAGGGGACTCCACGACCTCCCTGGGCAGCCTGTTCCAGGGCTCCATCTCCATCTCTCAGCCTGTCCTCATAGCATAGGTGCTCCAACCCTCTGATCATCTTCATGACCCTTTGCTGGACCCATAGCATCCCACCAATAAATCTTCCTTCCCTATTTTCCCAACAGCAGATTCCAGCACTGGGTATGCTAGCAAATTTTAAGCCAAACTGAGGAACGAACAAACTAGCCTGAAAAATGCAGAGGTTTGAGAGCTGATTCCTGAGCCATTCCCCTTTCCTCAGGAGAAAGACACATGATGGAGGTGGCTGGATGTGGCAGCTGTGGGACCCAGGCAGGTTTGAATCCATTGCTGATTCTGCATGAGTCTGTAATAGCCCTAATCGCCCCTGGGTGCCTCCATAATCAGAGAGGGACAGATGCCTCCAGAAAGCAATTCAGCCCTCCTAGGACCTTGTTCATCATCTCATGGTAGAAGAGCTAGATCGATGGCTGCAGATTGCACAGATACTACAGAAAGGGCTGCTTAAAAGGGAAAAAAAAATCTTGTCCGGACACTACAGCCTCTAGTGTCTCTCCTCTGGGTATGTATATACCGACACATGTATAAACACACATACAAGTTAAAAGAAACATGCTAATCCAAGAGAAACATCACAAGAAAAAGTTCAGTCCTGCTGTGTAATACTACACGAGGCTTTCTACCTATCGATCCCAAGCAGTTTAGCAAAAAAAGGATAATATTCTTCATACTTTAGAAATTTGGGCTTTGACAAAAGGGATGCAGAAAAGCCTTGCTCGAAGTCCCACAGTTCCAGTTCTACTGGTTTTGTCTACTGGATAACTCTTAGTGCAGCAACTGATACTCAGTGGACTTTGCAGCTTTCCAAATATGTAACCTGGGGGCCAGGCATGGAAAGAAGTGCTATCAGGACCTGTTTACTTCATTAACATATGTTCAGGACTAAACACGTTCAGTAACACAGTATTACATAATAGTAATACCTACTCTGTAGTATCTATTAGTCAGAGTAGGTACTAAGTGTCTATGGGCATGGTTCAAACAAAAATGCTTTCCACAAAGAGTGCTAGATCTCACTTGCCAAGAAAGATGCCCAAACCTCATCTCTCTGTGATTACTAGCAAAGGCTTTACCACCTTATCTGTGCGTGTTTGACTTTGCAAGTTTAGCTCCAAAGGATTGATTGTAAACTAAATCTCTGCTAAGGGATCCAAAAGTTTCCTTAAGGCAAAAAGTACAAAGAGAAAAAAAGATAATTTATATGATCACAAAATAGCAAAGGTTTTGACCAAGTGTATAATCCCAAACTATGCTGGCATCTGTAGCAATACACATGTGAAGAATTACTGCGCCAACCGCTTGCTCCCTCTCCACCATATGGTTCACTGCCCCTTCATTTGTAGCAGAACAAGGGTTTGTGGAAATGGATGGGAAAGCAGTGACTGGTTAAAATAAAACAGATTAAAATTTTTAAACATCATTGCTTAAAAGCAAAATGGAGATGAAGCTTAAAAGAGCATCCTCAAATTCAACGGACGTTTGTCTAAGTGATTTGCAGTCCATATCTATGAAATATGGTTGTCACAAGTATCTATATTTCCAAAACCAAGACTGTTTCTTCAATCTTTTCCTTGTAAATAATTCTCAGTGCCCCCTCCCCCTCAGCTGGCCAGTGAGTTGCACATGGCCATAAGGATTTCTGATTTACTGCTGACTCTTCACCTCCTTTTTCAGCCTTCTCTTCCCAGAAAGTATCAATATACCAATTTGAAGGGATGGACTCCTACCTGGAGCTGGTAGCTGTGCCAGTGCTGTGACTCATGGGCAGCATCGTCGTGTGTGCGGGAACTCCTAGAGAAGACCAGTTGTCGTGGGACTGCAGCATGGAGAGGCAGGCAGAGGAGTTATCGGCATAGGCTGCTGAGAAAACAAGCAAGCACTGAAACACACTAGAATCAGACCAAATAACAATCTTGTATCGAAATGCAACATACAGCTTTAAAATACCCGCCTTATCGCTGCCTTGTAAAAAAAAAAATAATAAAAAAAATAAAAAACAAACCCAAACTTCCCACACATACACAGAAAAATGCAGTTAGCTACCAGCTGTGTCAAGTTCACAATTGCACTGGCACACCCCTGTTGACGTGGTGTTTTGCTCAACTTAAAACTGCAGAACCTTATTTCTATGAAGAATCTATGGTCAAAAAGCAGTCTTCAAACCACCTGCTGATTCAGCCCATCCTTCCTCATTGGGGCAGTAGGAAGAGGCAGGCTCCTTCCTTACAGTATCCCAATCACTCTTCCAGGGCACCTTCTCTATCTCCATCATCTACATCAGCAGTAACAGTCTGGCATCCCTGGATAACAAGCATCACACATCCCAGTTTTGAGCTGAGCATGCCACCACGAGCTCTGAAGTCTGCCTCAGGCACCATCGGGAGTGATTGGACTGGGGCTTAAACCACTCAGCTTGTGACCAAAACTGGCTGGCCAACACAGCAGAGTCCCTGGAAGGCTATAAAGAGAATCCTGTACAGCCATCCAGAGCCACCAAGAAGTTACCGTGGCAGCTGGCTAAGGGAAGGAGAAGAGGTTCTTCATAAAGGACTGGGGAATAAGGAGGAACGCTGGAGGTGTTTTGCTCTTTTATTCTGTTTCAAGTCACAAAACTTGTGAAAAATTGCCAAGATGCAAGAGAAGTCCACAGAAAGTTAGTTTCCTCCTTTAAAGTGAACTACAAAAGCTCCATAGAAGATCAACCAGGCTGCATCCGGAAGCCTGTATATTACTTCACAATTCAAAATATTAAAGATTTTTTTTAAACAGGAACCTTCAAAAAAAAAAATCAAGTTGAAGGGCAAGAATTGTTAATGGGCCTTTTCCAGAAGAAAGAAAATAACAATAAAAATAAATAAATAAATAATTTAAGAATTCACGATTAAAAATGCCCTTCTCGCCTCTCCCTTAAGTACCTATTTGGCTATTTCTGAACACAACTTTCAAATAGCTCTGCAGTTTACTCAACTCTATATTATTTCCATGTATCCAGGTCTGACACATTCATTGAGAGCAAACCTTAATCCACTGCTGTTAATTACAACAACAGGCAAGTAAAACTGCCAGAATCAGACCCTCATTTAGTATGTGTTAATAACAAGTGACACCATTAACAGAACCGGACATATACTTCTTCATTGTATTACCTATCATTAATAATTAACATCCTCACTTTAAAACTTAACTTTAAAAAAAAGTTAAAGTAAGTTTAACCTTATTGGCTAGAAGAATTCAAGAGCTCAAGACAAGGCCCACACAATATAATGGAATCAATTAGTGGGAGACAGCTGGACACACCCTCAGTTTTTCTGGTGTAAAGAAACTGGGGACACGTACTCATCAGCCTCATTTTTTTGTGGTGCTTGCCCCAAGCCCCTGAACTAGACAGTGACCTCCATTTGGGTGGCACCGCTGGAGATGCCCACTGCTCTGAGCTCACATCCCTTCAACTCATTTCCCATCCCCATTTCTACAGAGCTGGAACATCAAGACTTACTTGGCGAGTTGTTCCTGTGGGTGTAGGGGTTGGGGTAGGGGGCAGGACGGTGGTTCCTCAGCGACGAGTACCTTTCACAGCTGTGAGCAGGGGAGAGCGACAGGGGGGTTCCGAACTGAGGGTGAGGATTGGCTGGTGGGCACAGAGTCCCAGTCCCAGGGATAAGCCAGCTACCTACTGTGGGGAAAGGGAGAGGTTTGTAAGATGGAAAAAGAGGTTTGTAAGATGGGGAAAGAATCACAGAGCAACGAGATAAATAATCGATCAGCGAGGAGATGCACGCTCATGGAAGGAAACCAAGTTTCAACATGGATCTTTACAACTTTCTTAAATAAATAAAAGGAAAATTAGAAAGCAGCTTAGAAAAAGGCCCAAGCTAACACTATTTTTTAAATTACCATTTAATTACAACCACAGTAAGGAAACACCAGAATGGTTAAACACTGGTAGTGTGTGCTCAGCAATCGTTACCATAATCTTCAGTTTTAAATTGCTCTTTAGGGGTCTCATTCAAAGCTCTGAGGTTTCTCAGATTGCTGAGAACTCCTCTTAAAAATTAAGTATTTTCACTGAAACAATAATTCCTACCGTGAATCAACTTCCCCCCCTTAGAGGCTGCAGACAGGTTTTGGAAATAGTCTGCTAAAACAGTAATTAAAACACTAATGTTTTTTATTCACCTGAAAATACATTTTAAGCAAATGCCCCTAATTTTCCTAAAGTACTGAAAAAATAAGTACCATTTCAATGATTTTCTGCTGTATTCTGAAACTTTTGTCTACACATCCATATGACTATTGCTGTCCTTGTACACAAAGGCGGCTGTCTTTTCGGACATTAAAGTAGCTGCAAAATTCTATGAAAGGATTTTGAATGTAATACAGATGTCTTAACCACACACACAGAGATCATAATGTTCATACAATCATAAACCTGCACGAAGCACAATCATAAGGACTGGTGCTATTATTCTCCCTGTGAACTAAGGCAGAAACCAGCAGACGCCGCTCTCGAAATTTTGCTTAACAGATGAGATGGAAGAAATCGAAGTTATGTTTATAATGCAGAATTAAAGGAAACATACACTGCGAATACCCAGACTGCTGGTTGTCTCCCACTTCCTCCATCATGTCTTTGTGATCACTTCTATAAAAGAAACCGCCTTGTATTAGTTAATAATGCGCTTTTATTAATCTATGTAAAAAATCCACGCTTTAGAATCGAGTTAAGAGCTCTCACCTTTCTTTTGCATCAAGAAATGCCTTTGCAAACGGATTGTATTTAATTTTTAAAGCTGTGATCTAAAAACAACAACAAATATCTTTATTTGCAAGTATCACCATTCATTATCATGCAGGTGTTAGGATTTGAATTAGGACTATCCATTGAAGTTAGTGAAATCACAGATTTTTTTAAGAAATAAGATCAGGCCCATGATGCCGACCTACGAACATCAATTAAGCAGCCCCTAAGATCTGAAGTATTGGCAGAGGGCTAGGAATTAGTCCCTCTGCCAAATTCTAAGAGCCTGAGTTGCTTGGCTTTACTGATCAGCTAAGGAAACAGCTAAGAAAGTTAGTACACTAAAGAGTTATAAAAAGCTGCACAATTCAAGCCAGAACAGAACGGACATCAAAAAAAATCTCAAAAAGATTGGTAATTTACAGATTCATTAAACACAGATGTGCACTTCAGCTGGCAGAGTAAGGCCAGTTTTGAAATTGGCATGTCCAGTTATTTCACTGTTTAGCTGAAAATGCCAGCTGTATTCCTTACCATACTTGTTTGCCCCACTGAATCTTTCAAGAATTACTCCCCAGTAGTAAATTTGCAGTACACATTGAGACAAATAGCGATCAGGACTTTGTGACGTTATAAATGCATAGGCCTTTTACATATATTAATTTCATTTTTTATATTTAGCTTCAAACAAAGCACAGAAAGAACTGAAAACTATGAAACAAGATCCACTATTTTGCTCCGCAACGTGCACGTTGCCACCTGAAACCTCCTGGTACTTGCATCCTTTCTTCCCCGCCGTGCATACCTCCTCGTTCTGGTAGGCCGTCACAGCTATAAACTGGGTCTCCGGGAAGGAATGGCTGGTGATCATCCGCTGTGGGCCACCCACTCGCACTATATGGATCCTTGGCTCGTACTTGTGCAGAGAGTTCAACATGATCTGTGAGCAAAGGGACAGAGCAGTGACAGAGCAGCGGCAGATGCTGGCAGGCACAGAAAGCACTTGGGCTTGAAAGAAACTAATGGTCCACCTTTCCAGCAGAGAAGAAAGAGGCAACAGGTATGAATAAAATCTAAAACTGAAGCTACAAGGAAAGGAACACTGCAGTCAGACACCTCAATGTTTTGCCCAGTTGTCCTCATCCCTGTTATTTCACAAAACCACAGAATCACATGGGGTTGGAAGGGACCTCTGGAGATCATCTAGTCCAACCCCCTGCCAAAGCAGGTCCACCTAGAGCAGGTTGCACAGAAACGTGTCCAGGTGGGTTTTGAATGTCTCCAGAGAAAGAGACTCCACCACCTCCCTGGGCAGCCTATTCCAATGCTCTACCGCCCTCAAAGTAAAGAAGTTCCTCCTCATGTTTAGGTGGAACTTCTTATATTGAAGTTTGTGCCCATCTCCTCTTCTCCTATCATTGGGCACCAGTGAAAAAAGATCGGCCCCATCCTCTTGACACCCACCCTTGAAGTATTTATAAGCATTGATCAGATCCCCCCGCAGCTTGTGCAGTCACAAATGCATGGCAATAAGTACCCAACAAGATGCATCCACTACATCCCCTGCATTACCAGCTATGCAGGCCAGAAAGATAGTGAATTAAAAAAAAAATAAAATAATAAAGGCACCCATCCTCGGCTAAAAAAACTGCTTCTGCTGAAAGAAGAGGGGACAAGGGCGACCCAGCCCATCGCAGCCCGTTTGAGAAGAGCAACCTAAACCCAAGCATTAAGGAGGGCGTGAGGGGGGGCTCGGCCGGATCCCCGCCGCCCCGCAGCTCGGGTCGGTGCGGTCCCGGTGCCCGTCCCGGTGCTTACCTGCCCGCCGCCGTTGAGCTTGTTGGTGAGTTTGACTTTGCTGAAGGAGACGGGCGCCTTCATCCAGTGGGCGCCGAAGTTGGGAGAGTCGGGGTGGATGTAGACGCAGCTGGGGGCCTGCGGCTCCGGCTTCCCCCCCGGCACCCACTCCCCGTTCACGTACTTCCAGCGGTGCCCGTCGGCCGCCACGAAGTCCAGCAGGAAGGAGTACATGGCGTTGGGGTCCAGCCCCGACACGCTCACCTTCAGCACCGGGAACATCCTCCTGCGGGGCGACACGGAGATGCGAGGCACGGCGGGAGGGGGGGACAACACCCCCCCACACCCCCCCCATCCGGGTGGACCCCGCCACCGGGACCCCCCCTTTACATCCTTCCCCCGTCCCTACCTGCCGTTTTTGGTGACGATCATCTCGTTGGTGAGCTCCTTGAAGCGCAGCCACAGGTCGTTGTCCTCCAGCGTGACCCGCAGCTCCCGCTCCGTGGGGTCTCCCTTCTCGCTGCCCGCCTGCAGCTCGCTCTCCACGGCGCTCAGCAGGTGGTCCACGCGGTACTGGGGGGGCTTGCCCGCCCCCTCCGTCCCGGGGGAGCTCATCCTGGGCCACCCCGAGCGGCGGCGGGGCCGGGGGCTGCCTCCACTTGACCTCCGCGGCCCCAGCGAGCGGGAGCGGGGCGCGGGGGCCGCTGTTATACCCCCTCATAAACACCCCCCCACC